TCGATCGAATTCTTGGAGTAATTTTCTGTTGGGATCAATACCCACGTTGATGAAGAGCATTAGGCAAAAGTCGTGATCGAAATTTAATTTAATTATCTCATAGTCAACATCTCGATGAAAATTGTCAATTCGACGTTTTAAATTAGATTTCATTTCAAAAAAGATATAAAAAATCTGACATCCGTTCCCAGTACATTTCATTTATTTCACCAAAACCTTGGCAAGAAAATGAGCTTATATCTTCACAAAACTTCATTTTGAAGGTTGATAAGTTGAATACCGATGTATTGGTGAAATTTCGAAATTCACACATTTGAAGACATTGCGAATATTTATTTATTTATATCCAATGGCAGGCATTTTGATAGTTATCATTAGCCCTTTAGTTGACTTCAGGCTTCACAGAGAGGAGGAGGAACATTAAAGTGAAAAAAAGCGGAGAGAGGGGGGAGGGGACAGAAGAGTGTTTCAAAGACGAAGGTAGATAGAAGGTGAGATGCGTACTATGGAAGTAGTCGAATATGACATACAGTGGGGTGATGGTAGTTTGAAGTTCGAAGTCAACCGCCAGTTAACAGACTTTTTTGCCGTATGAGTATACGTTGCCCAGGGTGCACCACGTGGAGGTAAGTCTATCGCACACCCTCATTGCGAATATTATTAATTCAAAGCCTCCATTATAAATAACAAATACTCAATCACTTAAGAATTAAACCATAAGTTCGAATAAATTTCAACATTTATGTCATTTCATCTACACGATCAATATTGTTTACCCTAAGCAAATTCAATACTGAGTGAATTAAATATCTTATATTCTTCCTTAACTCGATTAGAAAGTGAGAATAATTAGGAGATGGTTGGGGGGAGAAGTGAGATTAATAAATAGAAAATTACAGAGCAGAAATATAGTTTATTTATTTTTTTAATTTAATTTTTATAATAAACCATGGATCCAGAACCTTCTCTCTGCTCACTTTGAAGACATTTGATATTGTATTAAGAAAGAGAATCATAAAAAATTGGCCCTTCAATGAAAGATTTATTTTTAAATTGAATTAATGCATAAATAGTAGAAAGAAATGAGATATTCATAATTTTTTTGCCTATGGAAAATGGCATGTCAGAAATGACAATTTTAGAAAAGCCCAAAGAGTTAAAATCACAAATTTATTTCAAAATTGACAATAGGCGAACACCATCTAAAGAAGCAAGTTGAGTGGAGAAGATTGCGTGCACGGAATTAATTCTGAGTGAAGTTGTTTTTGAAGCCTGAGAGAATCAATCAATACCTCCTCATGTGGCCTGTCAAGTGTTAATGGACAACAGCAACAGCCATTAACAAACGATAAGGCAAAAATTTCCATTTAATGAAGGTGCATTGGACAACTGGAACATTTGGGATGGGAAAAAGTGGAAAGGGTGGGAAAATGAATTGAGAGGAGAGAGAGAGAGTGAGAGAGAGAGAGATAGGCGGTTGTACCATTAGAGAACGATATGGGATGGTAGATGGGGTACGATAAGACGATTTACGGGGGGTTTGCGATAGACTTACCTCCATGTGGTGCACCCTGGGCAAAGTATACTCATACGGCAAAGAAGTCTATTAACCGGCAGTTGACTTCTCACCTCAAACTACCATATCCCCACTGTATGTCATATTTGACTACTTCCACATTACTCACCTTACCCTACTCTCTATCATTGTGCCTATCTCTTTTACATCTGCGAATCACTCTTCGTTCCCCCTCTTGAATATTTCTAACTTTGATGTTTCTTCCCTTGCGCTTTGTTCTTTAACATCTCATGAAGTGTTACACGTAAGTAGTAGTAGGGACTAAGCAAGTCTACGAGTCAGGATGTGCAGGAACTTCGGATTCTCAATCCTCAGATAAAGAGAAATAATGTTAAATATTTCCCAATAGGTCTGCAAAAGTAGCCTTTCTCAAATAAAAGAAGATAAAGAGTTAACCTGGACTGCACCTCCAATTTATGGCCAGAAAAGGCTGAAGGAGAAAAGCCGAAATGAGTTGAAATAGGAGTTAGTAAGAAAGAGGAAAGCGCCAGTACAGAACAAAGACATCGAGTCTTGAGATGAAATGCGAAAATTCTCGTTGAAAAGAGTCATCTTTGGCTCCCTCTTTTGAATTATGACTCTTCTATTCTGCTACCACCTCTAGGGCTTGTCTAACGCCTTTCATTCAGAGACATCCTATCGTGGTGAACCATATTACCCTAGCCAATAATTGATTTCATCATTCCGTTTTCGCTTTAGTCAGCAATCAATCGAAGTTAAGGAAACTGACTCAAAGGATAGGGAGTTAGAAGACTTCAAAGAGGCAAAGAATGAAACTGAGGCATCAGAAAGTCTTAATCCGATGCCGTATCGTCGCCGAGCCCTCTCGTTTAAAATGGTCCCATCACAACACGACACCGTCCTCAATAATCTCGGTGGCACTTCAATTCAGGACGAATTACCATCCTCTTCCGTCAACAGTTCAGGTGAAGGTCTCGGGCTTTTGGAAGTGAAAATACCCTCCCATTTTCGCAAAAGGAGCGCTTCCCTAAGTCCTGACTTCTGTCTCAATCTTCCTGATCCACCGCTTGAAGTGAAGATTCTGCAATTCAAAGAGGCAAAGATGCGTGGAGTTACGGATCCTGAAGTGTTGGCTGATATTCAACATCAGCAGGAGCAGCAGCAGCAGCAGTTGTCCCCCATTTTGATGAATGTTCCAGAATGGGAAGAGGATGTTGAAGAGGGCGATGAGGAGTCTGGTGGTGAGAATGTAGAAGTTGCTGGTTAGTTAAGCGCTTGACTATTGCAGTAGTTACGATAGTGTGGTTCGAATGACTTTTGATACGGGTTGATATTCCTTCTTCTTAAAGTCTTGCTGATTAAGTATTGTTATATTTATAAAATTGACTCATCCAGTAACAAAAGAAACTTTCGAGGTTCTACTCATTGGGAGATCATATGAATGAAGAGAACATCAAAATAGCATAATTATAAGGTGTGTGAGCTCAGGGAGAAGATCAATTTGTGAATTCAGGTCATCATAAGTCTTGCTTTGTTTGAACTAATTCAGCTTGAAGTTTTGCATTTTTCTATGTGATAATGTTTAATCTTTATGTTTTTCGGTTCTTTAGTGAGATAGCCAGCACAGCATTTGGCACTTCCTGGCTGTTCGGTTAATTTGTCGTTAATCATGCCTCATCGTTTCGTGCAATGGCGCATTAATCTTTGAGTCTTTCGGATCACAATAGTTTAACTCTTTGAAAAATATAAGATCTTAAGTCACTATTGGCACCAAAAGTGGAGTGGGTTTGGAACTGGTGATAAAATTGAGAGTTATAAAAGTCTCTATTAATATGGGAGTCTTGATTGGTGAGTCCCTATTTCGTAGACTATTCTTTTGCTAACCTGTGGAATGTGGGCTTCCACGAGCGAGAGAAATTACATCGTTTGCTGCCAACAGTCTCGGAACAGCGTTTCCGATACCGAAAACACATAATTGGCGGCAGGTCGATAATTATGGTTGATTTGTTTGCATAAATGTTTGATAATCGTGCACAGATTTTAGTAAATATCAACGAGTCGAGTCATGCCTTTGGTTCTCAAAGTGGTTCAAGTAAACAAGGTTGTGAGTCCTAACTGTTGAAATTTGCCAAGGTGAATAATTTACCGAATGTGATGTACTTTCCTGATTTGAGGCTCACCGTTTGATTATTTAAGGTCTGTCTACACCTTCCAACTGATGTTTTTGGTCCAAATTTTGAATTCAATCACTTTATTTTTGTATCAGGCTAAAAGTTTAGTAAATAGTTAAAATATTTACTTTATCCTTTATTTTTATGAAATAGTGAATCATGAAAAGAAAGGATATAAAACTTTTTTATACCTAACCACTCGGTTATAACTTCTTAAGCCATTCAAGACCTTTATACCAGTTGATGTGTGTTTTACCAGACAGATCATTGCGTCAAATGTGGTCGTATTTGGATAAATTGTTGCCGAACTGCATGGTGCACACCCTTTAGTCGTCACGTTCTTCGGTATTTGGACACTTGCGGTGCGTGAAGGGGAATGATACACCTTCATGTGTTCATTTGGGAAAATGTTTTTGCAGGGAGTTGCATTGCCTAGAGGGATAGGACCATGGAGTCCTCTTGATAGGATATTCGTATTCCGCCAGTTTCCCGATAAGCTATCCTTAATTAGATTCTTTGAAGTATGAATCTTGCATTCCACAGTACAGTTTGGAGATTTGATTCTGTCACTGGGGTTATCATAGACCCAGTAGATATCACTAGACTGGAGCTAACTCCGTCAAGAGAAAGTAGGAAGAGAGAGTGAGAGGGGGAGAATCAAGTTAACCCAAAACCTGTTATTAGGCAATCAAAGGCACTTGAAAGGAATATTAGTTGCCTTCACGATGTTTATGTTGGAAGTTTTAAAACACCGCAAGATTGATGCTAGTTTTGTCCCAAATTACGGTGAAGCTGTGTGTGTGTCAGACAACGTGATTGTGCATATTTTCGAGTCTGTTGCGTGCCTTTGAGACAACCTGTGAGAATTGATGATCCCCACCTCCATCCCCCCCCCCCCCCCAATAAGACATAAACACTGTAGCTGTAAGCTTCATTTTGTTGGCTTTCTATTAGTTGATCATCTTGCGATGGACTTTGAACGCTTAAATTCCGATTTCACGAGGAGGCATGTTAACGTCCTTGCAATGCCTTATTTCTCAAACCCAATTGTCTTTAAGAGGCAGTGATTTTGCTGATAATTACTTTGCGAATACTGTCCCAGCCTCTCACGCTCGTCTCGCTAAGCTAGAAAGCCTGTCTAATTAGTTTACAGTATGGGTGATTTCATCTGTTCCTTAAATTTCTCAGTTATATTGGGAAGGAAGGATGGTTTCTCTGATGTTGGTTCGTAGGAAGTGCAGATTTTATTTAGCTTTTGCAGTAATTAACCCCTCCGTATTTTGTTATTAGCATTAAATGTTGTAAGGCATGGTTTGAGCCACTTTAAATTTGAGCTGTGAACTGGCAGCAATGATTGGTATTTATATTCTTTTTCATAATTACGTAAGTAGTGGGTGGAGGGCTCTATAAGTGCATAAATCCCCTATTCCTTGACTCTCGTCAAGTCTAATCTATCCTGCAATCACATCGCCTCCCACAAGAGACAACAAACTCCCTCCATCCTACAGTGTCTCGTTGCTGAAGCACTTCAGCACCAAGTAGGGGCAGATGTAACGCGTTTTATTTCTGTAATTTGTTAAGTGTTTGGTAATAACGCGCTCTTTTGTCCACCATTCTTTAGGGTCCTTGCCGCGATTCTTTTTCGCGCGTTATGGGAATCCCTCTCTCGGTAAACGGTAATTAGAGCTCTGATAGGAATTTTCTTGTTCATAAGTAGATTACTGTGTCCCGTTGCTACTTCAAGTAAATCGCGTTGGACTATGTTATATTTAGGCTGGCTGCGTGACGTACAGATCGTTTGAAATTGTATGTACTTTCGAAATCATCCCTATTTAGTATATTAATGGCGAGTGTATCATAAACATTTTATTTATTTATATCAAATGGCAGGCATTTTGGTAGTTATCATTAGCCCTTTAGTTGACTTCGGGCTTCACAGAGGGAAGGTTCATCAAAGTAGCAGAAAGACGAGGAGTGGGGATCAGAAGAGCGATTCACAGATGTAAAAGAGGCAGACAGACACAAAGGTAGAGAAAAAGGTAAGGTGAGTACTGTGATAGGGGTCGAATATGACAACCAGGGGGTCGTGGTAGTTTGAAGTCAGAAGTCAAATGCCGGTTAATAGACCTTTTTGCCGTATGAGCATACCTTGCCCAGGGTGCACCACGTGAAGGTAGGTCTATCACACACCCCTGTTTCATAACCTTGATTTTGACTGTTATACCTGAGTCAATGCTAGGCCTATAATTGCTCTGACTCTGTGGATTAAATAGGGGATAGAACGGCTTTTAGGAGTGTGCTTATGAGGGATTGAAATTAATTTTACAAATTACGGTAAAAAAATGGTTTGAAAATTCCATGGAAATTCAATAATACAGAGTTCGTTGATACCTTATTCCCCTAACTCGAGTGTATTTAATGCGAATATTTTCCGGTTTATTAGCGGCATTTATTGTGATCAAACCGAGAAACGTCTCTCTTTCAGT